AAAAGGAAAACTACAGGCAAAAAACAAACCTTGGCTTATTAGTATGCTAGACAAAGGCTCCTCACTTACCAGTTTGGAAATGGTTTCGGAGATCCAAGTACTTTTAGGTCTCAGGAAGGACGGCGCTGTGCTGAGGAATAGCACAGGTAATATAATCATGATTGCACCATGAATGCCTGTCTCTCTGGTTTTCTTTCAGTCCTTATTATAGGCCAGACATGAAATAAATACAATGATTTAGAATAACATTTATACTAAATAGAAGGAATTATATTTAACATATGTATTCACTATCATGAATTAGAACAATAATCCTAAAAAGTAGATGTTCTTACCCTCATTTTACAGAAGAAGAAACTAAATGTCTGCAAGTGAGCTTAAGTGATTCATGACAGTTCCTACCCAGCGCTGCCCCACAGGGTCCCACACTTATCACTTGAATAGAGAAAGCATTGATACATATATATCGAGTAAATAAATAATGTACTCCAAACCCCTTACCCCTTCTATGTTTCTTGAATGTCTCTTACATGAGAATTCTTTTTTAAATTTTTACAGTCTATATTTTTCTGAAAACAATGCAGTGATTTAAACCAAATTCCCTACCTTTTGAAGTGATGCAACTGGGAATCTTTAAACTTTTAACCAATAGTCCAGAAACCAATAATATTTTTAAAAGCACCTATTGGCCAGGTATGGTGGCTCACACCTGTCACCCCAGCACTTTGGGAAGCCAAGGCAGGATAATTGCTTGAGTCCAGAAGTTCGAGACCAGCCTGGGAAACATGACAAGACCCTGGATTTACTATGTTAAAAATTGGCTAGGCTTAAAAATTAAAATTAACTTATTTTAAATTAATTTAAAAATCAGGTGGCATGTGCATGCATTCTTGGCTACTTGAGAGGCTGAGGAAGGATCACCTGAGCCCAGAAAATGAAGGCTGCAGTGAGCTACAATTGTGCCACTGCACTCCAGACTGGGTGACAAACAGAGACCCTATCTCTAAAAATAAAAATAAAAGCACCTACTTTGCGTATGATAGTGTGTTAGTTAACACGGATGCTGAAACAAATCAGCCTCACTTTTAAAGAGTTCAGAGGCAGGGTTAAAAAAAATACAAAAATATAACAGGCGGCTGGGATGTTTTTAATGCCATAAGCTTTCCTGGCTCCTACCTTTTCCTTGGCTTGTCTCATTCTATACCATCTCTTTGCAGGGACTGACTATAATAAGTTAAACCACACCACACTTGATCTCAATGCAGTAACCTCAAACAAGAGAGAGTTTTCCTCCGAGCTTTAGATGCACAAAGACAATGGTTGACCAGATATCTCCCTGAGATATTCTCCAAGCCTCTTAAAAGAAAATCTCATGCTAAACACATCATTTCTGCAGTCTCTTCTCTCTTTTTCTCATGTTCCCTGCTGGGGTGCTTGTATCCTCTGTCATCCCAAGTCTAACATCTAGAAGTCATTCTACATTGCCCTCCTTCTCCCTGTCCATGAATGCCTCCCACACATCTCTCCTGTCTGTTTCTACCTCATCAGGGTCTCCTCATCTCCTGCCTGGAATACTCAGAACAGCTTCCTGACTTCTGCCACGCTCTCCACCACCAGCTTCACTCCCTCTCAAACCCATTCTCCACTCAGCCTTCAGAGGAACCTACAGAAAACTAAAACCTGGCCATTCTATTGTTATGCTTCAAACCTGTGTGTGACTCTCTGCTCTCACACAGAACCAAGCCATAGCTCTTCAGAAGGGCACCTCTGCATCTTACCCACTAACAAAACCAGTTTTGGTTCCTCCCCTGCCTCCCTACACCCTTCTTTCTCTCCTGCACTTTTGCCTCCTTGGGCTTGTCTGCTGATGATACTTTGCATTAGTCCATTTTAATGCTGCCGATACAGACATATCCAATACTAGGAAGAGAAAGGGGCTTAATGGACTTACAGTTCCACATAGCTGGAGAGGCCTCACCATTACGGCAGAAGGCAAGAAGGAGCAAGTCACATCTTACATGGTCAGTGACAGGCAAAGAGAGAGGGCCTGTGCAGGAAAACTTCTCTTTATTAAACCATCAAACCTAATGAGATGTATTTACTGTGACAAGAACAGCATGAGAAAGACCTGCGCTCATGATTCAATTACCTTTCATAGGGTCCCTCCCATGACAAGTGGGAATTGTGGGAGTTACAATTGAAGATGAGATTTGGTTGGGGACACAGCCAAACCGTATCATACCCTGTGTTTGGAAGACTGGCTTTGTGAGCCCCTGAGCTTCCGCCATGTGCCAGGCGTTGTGCTGGGTCCTGGGAAGAGCATGTTGAATTAAGCAGACACCGTTCCTGCTCTTGTGGCATTTACAACCTGCCCAGAGCCCGCTGACAAAACCAGGTAAAGAAGCACACACCGATTCTAATTGTGGTTCACAATCGGACAGCAACTGACAAGGATGCAGTACATGAGAAAAACAACTTCCTCATTTCACATGACGCTTTGTGGACACCTCTGATTCTGTACTTAGGGCCACTACATTATACATTATACATCACCGTGTGGTGATGGGGGCATATAAATATAAATATAAATATAAATGTATACATATATGATGGGTACATATAAATATAATTATATATGTATATATCTATGATGGGGACATATAAATATATATGATGGGGACATATAAATATAAATATAAATATTTATATGTAAATATATATAATTATATAACTATATATTTATATGTAAATATATATATTTATATGTCCCCATCATATATATATGTATATATTTATATTTATATGTCCCTGTCACCACATGGTGGCCTTCCTGAATACTAACACTGTTCAAATAATCACTTTTGGCTCTACTGTAGAATGTAGAGGGGCATTCGATAAATGTTAACTGGGTGGGTGGGTGGATGGATGTATGGATGGATGGTTAGATGGGTAAATGGATAGGTAGGCTGGTGAGTAGATGGTGGGTAGATGGGTAGATGGATAGATGGAAGGATGCCTGGGTGAACAAATTAAAGAATGACTTAGGAGATGAAAGAGCATGATTCTCTATCATTTCCATTTCAGAAATCGCTGATTAAAATTGTGTCCTTAGTAACAAGTACATCTTAGAGGCTCTCATCAATGAGCTTGTGAGGACATCCTTTACCAGTGGGAGAGAAGTTACAGAGCACACTGGGTGTTTTCAAGTATTGTTAAGGCTCCTGCTCACATCCTTGAGAGATTTTCAGAAAGGTTCTTCTGTACTAGAGAGTTTCTGGGGATAAATGCTTCACAAGGAAAAATCAAAACAGTGCAAAACCTCCTAAACAAGGCATGCTTGGCCAGGATGGGGGGATAGGAAAATGGGCCACAGAAGAAAGATTTTTATAAAAGAAGTAGCATTTTAGTTTATTTTGTTTTGCTTTGCTTGTAATAATAGGGAAAAGAGAATAAAGGTGAGAGGCAGCATGGGGGAGTTCTACAGAAAGAAAGGGAGGAAAACAAGGGAGAAAAGAAATCTTCGCACTTCTGAGATGGCCAGGATTCAGCAGGAAAGGAATCCATTCTTCCTTCATATACATGGAAGGGATACAACAGCCCACCCAGATCCAAGTGAAGACCAGGCAGTAGCTGTTCAGGAAAAATCGGGGTCTGGGAACTAATTTGCAAGTTCCATTTTAATAAAGCAGTAAAGCAATATTTTCAGAGTGTGTCCAGCAGAATTTCCAGGCTCCGGTTCCAAGTACAGATTCCTGGTACTCACTTTCAACACAGAATCTCTGACAGTGGGACTCAGAAAGATACGTTCTTATTCAGTTGGCACAAAAGAAATTGGGGTTTTTGTAATTCTTTTCAATGGCAAAAGCACAATCACTTCTGCACCAAATTAATATCATATTCCTAAGTTTTCAAATTCTTCTGTTAAAAGAGAATCTGACTTCCCCTTCCAATCCCCCAACATGTTTTGACCAATGAAGGTGGGACAGGAGAAGGGTAGGCTGTCTTTCAAAGCACATCATAGAAATAAAGCATCCACTGTTGGGAATTACAGAGAGAAAAGACAGGGACACTGATACCACAAAACACTTGCTTTTGGTGACTTCTGCATATCTGAGGAGAAGGTGTGTTAGGGGGTTTTAATTTGCAAGAAGTCAGCAGAGGAACAGTGTATATTTCTAAGCAGAAAGACAAACATTCAAGTGGATGTGTACTCCCTTAAGCACCAAAGTGTCACCCAGGAATTTTTCTGAGAAGCTCCCACTAAATCAAGCTCTGTCCCCTGCTATTCTCACTAGCTGCTGAAGGGCTGGACAGCAACGACCCTTCCTATCACCTGGCAGCCTGTGAGGGAAGCTTGTTAGGTACTGAGAGTTAAGGGCTTGGAAGAATTTACAGCTTGGAAACAAAGCCTCTGAATTCCTCAGAGCAATCTTTAGAAAGAGACTCTGGCAGACATGTGGAATTGTCATCCCATAATATCATTCTAGGAATTTATCCTAATGGCAAATTAGAATGACCCTTCCCCCACGCTGACCACTGCTGACTGAGTCAGAGGTAAGCATCTGATTCTATAGAGGAGGAATTTCTTCCCTGGACTTGGGATGAGACAGAGAGTATTTAGTCCATCTCTCTTCAAGGGCTAAAGCTGTGAAATGTAAAACTTGGGCTATGTGAAGACAGCCCATCAGAAATAGAAAATGAAGTTGACCAGGCATGGTGGCTTAAACCTATGAGCACTTTGAGGAGCCAAAATGGGTGGATCACCTGAGGTGAGGGGTTCGAGATCAGCCTGGCCAACATGGTGAAACTACGTCTCTACTAAAATTACAAAAATTTAGCTGGGGTGCTGGCGGGTGCCTGTAATCCTAGCTACTCAAGAGGCTGAGGCAGGAGAAGCGCTTGAACCTGGGAGGCAGATGTTTCAGTGAGCCAAAATGGCGCCATGGCACTCCAGCCTGGGCAACAAGAGCAAAACTCTCTCAAAAATAAGAAAGAGAGAGAAAATGAAGCTGACAAGCAGAGAATCAGAGAGAAAGAATGTAGCAGAGGACTTCAGGGGAAGCTGTGTACACAAGGGAGAGCTGGTTCCCTCAGGATGTGCAGGTCCTATGTGTTCCCCAGGGCTACTTACAACTCTCTCTTCTCCTGCCTCCCTCAGAACGCTGGCTCGCTTGAGAGCACTGGCATTGGACCTTATGAACGCCACCCCTCCCATGGCTGCCATCCACTCACCACCTCCGAATGCACGCTCACTCCTCCCCCTCAAAGACAGCAACAGCACAGGGCTTGCTGCCTTTCCTTCCATGACTGCTGTGGTCACCACTCTTGGATGACGCAGTGGACAACCTAATCTCCCTTGTTTTTCTCATCAGTGAGTCCAATGAAGTTTTTTTCCAACTCCACCTCAGCCACACACTTCACAGACCCAGCCTAGACCCTATCTTCCGCTCTGAATATCAAGCACCCAATCTTAGAGTGTTGCCTTTTACCCTCCCACCTCATCCATTCTGTTCACTGTCGCACTTGGCTGACCTCATTTGCTATCACCACCCCGTTGATTCTATTGCTCCTTACCACCCTTGTCATATCACCTCCTTCCTAATTTCTCAGCCTAAATACCACAGGCCAGGACAGAAACCATTCCCTGGCAGGGGCGCAGATTCTCCTGGACAAATGATAAGCTGGGTTAAGCCCAAGTTTAACTCACCTTGCGGACACAAGATGAGTAGGACTCTCTCCATCTCCTCCCATCCCACAGCCCCCATCTTCTGTATTTTCTCTTCAATCTCCCATTTCATGCTGAAGGCCACCTTTCTCTGCCTACTCATCAACACATGTATATTTAGTAATGGCCACTTATGTCCCAAGTCTACACAATGTTTTGGTTTAAGACCTTCTGAGTATTGTTGTTGCTTTTTCATTGAAATCTTAAAGAGGAAATCAAATTGGCCCAGCTTTCTGCATTCCATCTGAGCTGTCCCTAGGTCAGATGCTCACCTTGGTTCATTCAGATGTAATGTGGAAGGCCAGAGCTTGGGAAGGGACATCTCCCAGGGAAAGGAAAGACTGGAGAAGTATCCCAAATAATACGTCTACACCTCTAGGAGATATTGTGGGCTATAGCTGCTGTGAGTTGCTTAGCAACTAGAAGTAGTTCTGAGCCACACTTGAAAGAATAGTGGTTCAAAGAAACAATTTGTCAAGAAAACGGGAAGAGTATATTGCACAGAACTCCAGTCAACACTTCCCTTTCCCCAAACTGCAGGTTGGATGATTGGGGCAGCTCAGGAGGCAGGAGGGAAGGGGCAGGAGGGAGGTAGGGGATGTTCCTCATTCCTCAATCATCCTGTCACACGCAGGCATTTCAGCTAGGCCTGAGCAGAGCAACAGCCCGGGGTAAGAGTCACAGTGATTTCTGCCGAACTCACAGCATGTTAATCACGCCTGTCAGGCTCCCAGGGAAAGGAGAGGTTGGCCATCCTGACAATCTGCATTAGCATGGGTGGATGGTATTTGATTATACCTTTCTGGCTGCAGTTTCCATTTGCATCTTTCATCAGAGGCCAAAGGATGTGCTATCTGCCTTGCCTGTCCTGTAGTCTCATCCTCACTGCCTGTGCGCCAACTGACCCCACTGACAACACAAACTTCAGACTGCAAAGGGCCGTCGGCACGCTCAAGGGGGATCCAGCTGCCCTTGAGTGTGTGGGTTTTCACAACAGAGTTGTCCTATACAAACAGGCTAGATTGATTTTCATCTGGGGTCAGTTTCCAGAACACCTCTCACAGCCACAGAAAATCGGGCTATTCTAAGGGTGCAGAACTTGGAGCCACCAGCAGTGATAATGCAAAAGGAAGATGTCCTACACTATTATCAGCTGCAAAATTCAGCACATATAATATTACAGCTAACCAACAGAGTGCCATGAGCAATATTAAGTATACTTAGAGTGGTGAGCACACACAGGAAAAACACTTACCATGCATAGGGTCCTAGCAGCACTGTGCTTGTCTCAGTAACACTGCATTGTTTATATGCATGGTGAGGATCTTTTACAGCGCTCAGGAAATCTCTATGGAATGCCCGGTCATCTGCATCTTGACTTTGCCCTCCTCGTCTGTGATCAAACAACACTAACCTCAGTGCAGACGGTTCAAATGAGTTACAGCTAGAGGAAGAACTGTAAATAATTTGATTTATTTGATACATCCCAGGGTTACTTAAAAACAGTGAAAGTTATTAACTCTTGAGGATCTCAGTTCACTACCAAACAGTCTAAAGTCTTGACTAGAATTGACTTATAAACTTCACACAGCACCCAGCTCTATCGCAGGATGTGGTCAAGCAAGAGCAGACTATTTGGGTTTGAGCCCCACTCCCCAACTTCTTAGCTGACTTGTTTCCAGATGACTTGTTCTCCTTAAGCCTCATTCTCCTCATCTTTACAATCAGAACAAGAGTAAACCATCAACAGGTTTGTCTCAGGATGTGACTGAGTTAATACCTGTGAGGCACACAGCACAGTGCCGGGCATTTATTAAGTGCTAGCCATCAAATAATTAGTAATTATTAGGTTGTAAGGTCTTTTTAAAAATTTCTTTCCATCTTGGGTTTATGAAAGACACCAATATGGACAGCACAAATGGCAGGGTCTTTGATGAGACATCAGTAGAAACAAACTCTCTTAACCCAGTTATACCCCAGGGTGAACAGCAAAGGAGTAAGATCCAGCTACTCTTTCCTGGCACAAGAGTCAAGACCAGGAGGAGCATGGCAGTTTCCTTGTCCCATCAGAAGAGTCTCACTGGGACACTGAGATGGTTGGGCTCTGTGTCCCCACCCAAATCTCATGTTGAATTATAACCCTTAATGTTGGGGGAGGGACTGGATCATGGGTGCAGAATTCCCCCTTTCGGTTCCCCTGATAGTGAGTGAGTTATCACGAAGTCTGGTTGTCTAAAAGTGTGCAGAACTTCACTGTCCACTCTCTCTCCTACTGCCATGGAAAGAGGTGCGTGCTTCCCCTTTGCCATTCCACCATGATTTTAAGTTTCCTAAGGCCTCCCCAGCTCTGCCTCCTGTATGGCCTGTGAAACTGAGTCCATTAAACTTCTTTTCTTTATAACTTACCCATTCTTGGGTAGTTTTTTACGGTGGTATGATAAAGGACTAATACATACACCATCTACCAGGGCTGATAATTCCTGGAGAACCTAACGAAGCAGCATCAATGGGTTGTGAAATACATTTAATTGTCAAATTAGGTGCTGAAGACATGGACCAAGCAAAGCTTAGAACCAAGGGGAAAGAAAATAAAAGACTCAAATTGGTTTTCAAGTTGCCAACAAAATGAGTTAAACAGAAATACGTTCTCTGTGCTTAGTTCTGCACACAGACACTTTTTAAAAGTAAAATTCATTTAGCTTAAATTAATGGAATTAAATAAAGTAAATGCAGGTCAGTAGGGAATTACTGGAGCATGTGAGCAACGATGCTGTGGACGCTCATGCCTGTTTGAAGAGTAAAAACAGCCTGTTCATTCACTGACGTGCCATGGGTGATAGATCTTCTCCTAAAATAGCGTCTGTGCAAAAGATAGGAGGAAACGATTGCCTATTAATTTGGTTTTTAAGTCCAGATGAAGAACCTTGAAAATAGCCAAAGAGCCAAAAATACTGAGTAACTTCACATTCAGAGGGACTATTTCTTCTCTCTATATATAGCAAGTCAAAAATAGACATCTCAGATTCTGGGACTGCAAGGGCTGAAGGACGTCTACGCCCACCAACTGGAGAGAAAATTTATAATAAATCCCCCTAGGTTATCAGTTTGCTTAAATGTCACCACCTCGGCAAACTTCCCAAACAAATGTGACCTTTTCCATAACCCTAATTTATTCAATTTACATGTGCCATTTTGTGTCTATTTTCATCCATCCAACAAATAGTCACTGAGTTAATACTCCTTCTCAGAAATTGTGTTTGGTTTGGGGACACACGTTATCATGTCCTTCCTTACGCAACTTATCGTCTATTGGGGTATTGACAGAAAAATAATCAAAATATTAATTAATTATAAAGATGTTACGTAAGTATTGAGAGGAAACTGGGCTTTGGGTGATGATAGTTTTTTCCCTCCAGAAAAAATAATATTCCAACTTGGACCTATATGTTAAACAAAACTTTTAAAGGCAAAAAAAGTGAAGGAAAAGCAGGCGGGACACTGTCAAAATAGTTCAGAACATGTTTTATAACAACCACAATTCTGTCTGTATCATGTATATGGGAATTAAATACCTGTTTTCTGAGCAAGGGCCTAGCACAGGACAGCTGTGCATCTTCCAGGTATTTAGGGGTTTATGGCTATTGGTGGTTGAAAATACACTAACAGAAAAGACGTTAAGAGGAGGAAATGTAATTTTTCACCGGCGATTTGAGACACTGCATTGCCATTCCAACAGCCACTTTTAATTCACGTAGCTCTTGTATTCCCATGGTCAATATCACCCTTAAAACAGGTATAACATTTACTTAACTGTATTGAGCTGCATTTATCTTTTTAACCAGAAGTGAAAATGCTTATTTCTTTTTTAAAAGTATTCACCACATTTTCAAGCTCTCCTCATTCTGTTTCCAAGAGTCAGAGTTTTTCTCCAGTGCATTGGAAATGCAGATTGTAACCATTTCTAATTTGATTTTTGACTTTTGCCCCAAGAGAATGACCTCAAAACAACAAAGAGAAGAATGAAAATAATCAAACGGGAAGTGAAGCTCATGGCAGGAAAATGATGCAAGAGAAGTCATGGTCTGTGTCATAAATCATTCATAAATGTAGGTAACATTGGAATTTGATGAATGAAATATTTGAGAAAAGTCCATCTACTGTTTGACTACCACACAGGCACCAGCTCCTCCTTTGATTAAAATGAACAATCTACACCCTAATCAATTGCGTCCCAGGTGCCATAAAATCTTGCAAACATTATGATTTCAGAATTAGATGTGATGATTACAAGTAACTGAAGAGAAGGCAAATCACTTGGAAATGGGATAATGCCCCCGAATCTGTAAAGCTGGTTGGGGCAGATGCTATATAAAATGAATGCTGGCCCGGCACAGTGGGTTACACCTGTAATCCTAGAACTTTCAGAGACCAAGGAAAGCGGATCACCTAAGGTAGGAAGTTCGAGGCCAGCCTGGCCAACATGGTGAACACCATCTCTACTAAAAAAGAAACACAAAAATTAGCTGGATGTGGTGGTGGGTGCCTATAATCCCAGCTACTTGGGAGGCTGAGGCAGGAGAATCACTTAAACCCAGGAGGGAGAGGTTGCAGTAAGCCATGATTGTGCCATTGCCCTCCAGCCTGGGCAACAGAGCAAGACTCTGTCTCAAAACAAAAAACAAAAACAAAAAACGAAAGAAGAAAAACAACAATGATAACAACAAAATGAATGCTAGCTGTGACACCAAACATCTGCTATACAACAGATTCCTAACAGGTAGCTGGAAACCACTCAGAATGAGTAAAGGTGATCCTTAGGAGGTAACATGGGTTTACTATGAAAAAGTGATGGCAAGCAAATCCCCTTCTATTCCTTAGACAACAAATGCTGGAGAGGATGTGGAGAAATAGGAATACTCCTACACAGTTGGTGGGAGTGTAAATTAGTTCAACCATTGTAGAAGACAGTGTGGCGATTTCTCAAGGATCTAGAAATGGAAATTCCATTTGACCCAGCAATCCCATTACTGGGTATGTACCCAAAGAACTATAAATCGTTCTACTACAAAGACAAGTGCACATGTATGTTCATTGCAGCCCTGTGTACAATAGCAAAGACCTGGAACCAACTCAAATGCCCATCAAGGATAGACTGGACAAAGAAAATGTGGTACATATACACCATGGAATACTATGTAGCTATAAAAAAACGATGAGTTCATGTCCTTTGCAGGGACTTCCATGAATCTGGAAGCCATCATTCTCAGCAAACTGACACAAGAACAGAAAACCAAATACCGCATGTTCTCGCACATAGGTGGGTGTTGAACAATGAGAACACGTAGACTCAGGGAGAGGAGCATCACATACTGGGGGAAGTTGTGGGGGTTAGGCGAGGGACAGCAGGGGGGTGGGGAGGGTGGGGAGGGATAACATAGGGAGAAATTCTGGATATAGTATACACCTAAAGTAAAATTTAAAAAAAATTAAAAAAGGACCTAGACAGTTGAACTAACTAATGCTGTAGTTTGAGTGTATTGCAGTATTCATGCAATTAATATGGAATGTGGGCTGGAGCTTAGACTCAGGGCTAACTCATCAATTTACCCAAACAATGTTAATAAATGGAACAGCTGTGCACATATGTGTACATATCTTCCAGCATGATTCACAAGCTTCTCGGAAGCTGGCCTTATGTTTGTCATTTATCATTTAATTTCCTGGGCTGCATAGCACATAGTAATAACTCAGTAAATGAAAGATCATCAGGTACAAATCATTGGAAGAGAAGAACGCATTGGAAATGTGGGTGGTCATTCTCTAAAATCATGTAAAATACTTAAAACAGACTATAGGCTGTTAGAAAGCAAAGTCAGAGTTCTCTGTCTGGTTGGACATTTTTATCAATGATGGAAAAGATGACCTGAGAAGATGGTGTTTACCAAATTTACAGACGGTGCAGACCCATAGTTAGCTTGCAAGCAGAGTGACAGAATCATGATTTAAAACTATATTTATAGACTGAATTCTATTTTAGAAGTTGCTTCCCATGTGCCAGGTGCTATGCTATGTGCCTTACACACATGAGCTAATTAAGTTAAATGAATGCACAGTGCATACATGAGGGTTTTCAGCTTAAGACTAAGGGAGAGTCAGGCATATGGCAAAAATTGTGGGATGGGTCTATTTTCAGGAAGGCTAAGGAGCCCTCATGGCCATGGAGATGAGGACGCTGGGGAAGGAACCCATGACAGTAAGAGAGCCTTGGCCATTGGAGACATAGAAGACGTCCATGTCCTTATCACCAGAACCTGTGAATGTGTTACCTTATACAGCCAAAGAGACTTTGCAGATGTGATTTAATTAATGATGTTGAGATGGGGAGATTGTCCTGGATTAGCCAGGTGTGTCTTATGCTATCACAACTGCCCTTAGAAGAGGTAGGAGCATCCAGGTACAGTGGCTCATGCCTGTAATCCCAGCATTTTTGGAGGCCAGGGCGGGCGGATCACATGAAGTCAAGAGTTTAAGACCAGCATGGCCAACATGGTGAAGCCCACTCTCTACTAAATATACAAAAATTAGCCACATGTGGTGGTGCATACCGTAATCCCAGCTACCTGGGAAGCTGAGACACAAAAATGGCTTGAACCCGAGAGGTGGAGGTTACAGTGAGCAGAGATGACGCTGCTATACTCCAATCTGGGAGACAGAGTGAGATCCCCATCTTAAAAAAAAAAAAAAAAGAGGTTGGAGCTAGAGGAAAAGGAGGTGTAATGATGGAGCAGATTGGAGTGATGCGCTTTGAAGGTGGGAGGGAGGGACCATGAGCCAAGGAATGTGGCGGTCCCCAGGAACTGGAAAAAGCAAAAAAACCAATTCTTCCCTGAAGCCTCTGGCAGAAATTGAGCCCGGCTAACACCTCAATTTTATCCCCCTAAGACTCCTTCCAGATATCTGATCTCCAGAACCATAAGATAATAAGTTCTTATAGATCTTGCTTCAAGCCACTGAATTTGTGATAATTTGTCACAGCAGCAATGAGAAACTCTATAACACAGAGGAATGGGAAATT